AGGCGCGCACCACCATGCCCAGCTAATTTTTGTATTTTTAGTAGAGACAGGGTTTCACCTTGTTGACCAGGATGGTCTCGATCTCTTGACCTCGTGATCCACCCACCTTGGCCTCCCAAAGTGCTGGGATTATAGGCGTGAGCCACCGCGCCCAGCCTCAGGGATCATTTCTATAGTTTGTTACTGAATACCTCTGAAAAGCCAGGTATTAAGGACCCCGAGTATACAATATAAGCCCTGGCTTTGAGGCAGGTGCTCACACTGTCACCATATCACTGTCCTGCTCTCTTGTGTAGGTAACTGGGAGCTTACTGTACACTTAACAAGGCAAGCTGACTCACATTAAAAAGCTTACAAACTTGAGTCATTTTCTTTTTGAATAATATCTGTTTATAACTGGCCAGATTCCCTCCATATGAAACATTTAATTGGACAATATTAATCATTTGGGAGAGGTGGGGCACTGACTTGAATCTAGGATTTTCTTGCAAAATTCTCCCTTAGTGTTTCCTTTTTAAAAATGTGTGTGTGTATGTGTGTGTGTGTGAGTACATGCGTGTGCGTGTGTGTTTTGGAGGCTGGGTATTGCTCTGTTTCCTAGGCTGAATGCAATATTGTGATCACAACTCTCTGCAGCCTCAACCTCTCAAGCTGAAATGACTGTCCCACCTCAGCCTTCCGAGTAGCTGGGACTACAGGTGTGTGCTACCATGTCGGGGTAATTTTTGTTTTTGTAGGGATGGGATTTTACTGTGTTGCCCAGGCTGGTCTTGAACTCCTGTACACAAGCAATTCTCCTGCTCTGGCCTTCCAAAGTGTTGAGTTTACAGGTGTGAGCCACCATGCCCGATCTAAATGTTCACTTTTAATCAGGGCCTATAGCCTTGAATTCCATAGTAATGTGGCTCACCAAGTCCTTCTTAATAGAGATTTTCACACTTTCTAAATGGAGGTAGGACTGAGGGACCGTACTAAATATCAGGCAAGCAAGAAGAGCAACATTCCCCTACCAATACCTCCAGAAACAGTCCCTAGTAACAATAGTAGTAACAGGCATTTTTCTTTTTTTTAGAGAGGAAGCAGTGTGTTCATAATCCTAGTAAAGAAAGACAGATCAGGATGCAGGGAACTGAGGCATGGGACAAAACAAGAGGCAGGGATTAATGGAATCTACAGGGCTTTCTGCTTTAATCCAACCAAATCGCATGAAAATTACTCAATTATGAATTTGGAGTCAGGGATCTCTGCCCTGTCTGTATATTCCAGAAACATTAAAAACAAAATCTAAAATCTCCCTGTATACTGGCACTCACTCACAGCCTTCTTCCTCAGAATCCTTGTTACTGAACTAGACTTCTCTTCATCTGCCCATGTAATTCCTAGATCTGTCTGAATGCTTTTAAACTATATAACTCTTGTGGTTGTTTTCTTTTTGGTACATTTGTTAAGTTTTCAAATGGGCCTACCACTGCCACATGTATTATATTGGAGCTGGCAAAGGCCTGTGACAGATCTCTCTCAAGCCTTTCACGCCTTTCCTGCCTCAGAGAATGGCTCCCACATGTGGCAGGAAACAAAAAAACACAAATGAATGTCTCTCACTATTAGGCACTCTTATCAAAAACAAGCAACTATGTATGTCTAATCTTAACCTTTGCTAACCTTTAAAATAAAATCCTAAGTTAAAAAAATAAAAACACATCTTTTTTGAACAAGGATTCAGATGCTAACAACTTATAAAAACAATTATATTTTTAAAATTTACCATTAAGGCATTTCTTATATATTTATTACTACCTTAAGTAAACCTTACATTTTAAATAACAAACTCTTAGATTGACTGTGTCTTGCTTTACATCAAACTAATATGCTTTTAAAGGTGAATACAGTGGCTAAACTCCAGGCTTTGATCTCATTAAACTGAGCAGAAAGGAGGCAGTATGTTTCAGAAGTTTAGTATCAACAATCCTAAGTTAACTTTTGATGAGTTTAATGGCTTAATAAAGTCACACCAATTATTCCTTGTGCACTGTGAGAAATGATGGCCATTCAGCTTGCTAAGCAGGGCACTCTAGATAAATAAAAAAAGGTTTTCTTTTTTGAGAAAGTAGATATTGGAGACTTATTAACATTAATAACAATTTAAAAACTGACACAAACTGAAGTTATGAAATAGGTTCTGAATCCTTTGATAGCATACCAGAAATTAACTATGGATTCCGGAAAGAGAAAAACTCATTTGGGCAAAAATATAAAACATAAACAATGAACTTAAAATCTTTTTAGTTTAATTTCCTATTCTCTATTAGCAGTACAGACTAATTACTTTCTTATTTGAAAACCTTATTAATGTATAAAATGTATTATTAAGAGGCAGAGTCTCAAATCTTTTAAAAGTGCAAGCAATTACACACTCATTGATTTAATGAGGTTATCAATGTTTGTGGTATCCAATTTAAAACTAAACCTCTACTAGAGAAGCCTAAAATTTCTTATGTAAGGTATGAATGGAGTGGGCAAAAGATTACTTCTGTTTCATTTTTCTTTATTTTATTTTATTTTTTTAAAATTGCATTTTAGGTTTTGGGGTACATGTGATGAACATGCAAGAGTGTTGCATAGGTACACACATGGCAGTGTGATGTGCTGCCTTCCTCCCCATCACCTATATCTGTTTCATTTTTCTAAATATTTGAATAGTTTTCTGGTACCAGGCTACATGACAGATACTGTGACATGAGTAATTCAGAAACAGAATCTGTCAAATATGCCAACCATAATGTCATGTGATTTTAAGAGGGTCCATCAGTGAACCCAAACAAAAAAGGTGGAATTTTTGGAATAATTTGGTATATCCTAAGTATGACTTAACACCATTTAAAATTCTTTCAGGCCAGGCATGGTAGCTCATGCCTGTAATCTCAGCACTTTGGTAGGCTGAGGTGGGGAGATCACTTGAGGTCAGTAGTTCAAGACCAGCCTGGTTTAACACGGTAAAACTCCACCTCTGCCAAAAATACAAAACATTAGCCAGGCATAGTGATGCATGCTTGTAGTCCCAGCTACTCGGGAGGCTGAGGCACGAGAATCACTTGAACCTGGGAGGCGGAGGCTGCAGTAAGCGAGATTTGCACCACTGCACTAGAGTCTGGGCAACAAAGTGAGACTCTGTCTCAAAAAAAGAAAACCCCAACCAACCAACTAAACAAAAACCCACTTTCAAATCTAAAAATAGTTATGTAGCAAATAGTTCTTTTGTAGGTTGGCATATTACCAAAAGCTTAATAGAATTTCATAGAACAGTTCTTTGCTAAGACAATACAAACTTAAGCATAGGAGGAAAAAAAAAAAAAAAAAAGAGTTTACCAAAATTCCAGGGATCTATTTACAACTAAAATTCTTGGAACCTCCTTTAATGGAGCCGAGTTAGAACCTGGTGGGGGTCAGTAGGTGAAATGATATGTTGGGTGTTTTTGATTCCTCAGTTAATCTTTAAGATTACTTGACACTCTTTTCAAATAGTAGTACCATGGTTAGAACTCTCTGTGGATAGTCTCCTCTCACATTTAATTTAAGTCATGAAAAATCATTACCTTCTAAACATATTCTGCAACGAGTGATGATAAACAGCATGAGAAAGGAATAGGCATGTTGTGAAAGATCAATTTATTACTTGTGAAACAAGGTACTAATGAAAACTCATTTATTAATCTAGGGTGGAGTTAAATCACGTGCATTTCATCATGTACACACTCCTTTGGCTTATATGCAACTTTGTTCTTTAGCTAGCATGAGCAGGATATGTTAAGTCTCCATGCAAAACAAAAAGGGGCTATAATAGTCCTCCCTTTTATTTTTCATGAAAGCTTCCATATGTAGGAAAGAGGTAATGCTGTGTGACAAAACAAAGGTAAGTACAAGTGGTTAAGTACATACCAGTAAGTAAAAAACCCCAAAACCAAAACCCAAAAAAACCTCTTATCCCAAGACTGAAATCTACTACCTGCTCTTCCCTTCTACTCGGGTCTTTTTAATGCTCTTACACTGAGAAATTATTCAGAGGGACCACATTTCTCCTAGGATTTATATATGAGCACCTTCAAAGGGCGTGGCATATCTGTGTTTCAGTCTGAAGTCCACTGGGGGTCTAATACTCAGAAGTTCTTGTAAATCACAGTCAGAGGCCTCAAGCCACAGGTGCAGTCACTGCCTGAGACTCTGAATGACATGGATGCAGAAACTGCCTTAGTGCACACAGATGTTCCTGGCCACTCTGCCTACTCCACTGGATAGCAGATGCCTAGTGTTAACACTGCTTCTCTCACTTGACCAATCCCCAATGCATATACAGAAACTAGATTTGGAGAACCAGAAAAGTAGAGGCTTATATTGACTCAATAAAGAAAAAACCTTCAGGTTGCTGTAAAAGATTACTGTCACTAGTGAAGGGCTTGCTATGTTTTAGGGGAGTTGCTTTGTTTTAGACTCATAAACCCCTTTCAGAAATTTTGGAATTTAAAATAAGTGAGTTTGCTATTGTTGGGTGATAGTCTTTAAAAACTGACTATAAAAAATGCTATATTTCGGCCGGGTGCAGTGGCTTACGCTTGTAATCCCAGCACTTTGGGAGGCGGAGGCAGGTGGATCACAAGGTCAAGAGATTGAGACCATCCTGGCCAACATGGTGAAACCTCATCTCTGCTAAAAATACAAAAATTAGCTGGGCATGGTGGTGCATGCCTGTAGTCCCAGCTACTCGGAAGGCTGTGTCAGGAGAATCACTTGAACCCAGGAGGCAGATGTTGCAGTGAGCACAGACTGCACCACTTACATTCTAGCCTGAGAAACAGAGCAAGACTCTGTCTCCACAAAAAAAAAAAAAAAAAAAAAAAAACTCAAAAAAAAAAAAAAAAAAAAAAAAAAAAAAAAATGCTATATTTCATGTTATTATTATTAAACACTGCTCTTAATGATTTTTGTTCGTTTGTTTGGTTAGTTGAGGCAGGGTCTTGCTCCACTGCCCAGGTTGGAGTACAGTAACAGAAACATGGCCTACTGCAGCCTCCACTTCCTGGGCTCAAGGGATTCTTCCACCTCAGCTTCCCTGGTAGCTGGGACTACAGGCACATGCCATCATGCATGGCTAATTTTTCCAAGTTTTTTTGTAGAGACAGGGTCTCATTTTGTTGCCTCGGGTAATTTCAAACTCCTGGGTTCAAGTGATCCTCCCACCTTGGCCTCCCAAAATATTTGAATTACAGGGGTGAGCCACTGCTCTTAAATTTAAAACATAATAATTTCATGTTCACATGGATGACTAGATAATTAACTCCTGGATGGAAGGGACTAAAGCTTAATACCTAGAACTATGTCTGGCACACAGTAGGTGTTAATGAAATGTTTGAACAAATAACATTTATAATTAAGGATATGTACTTCATTCATCCAGCCTCTACCATGCATTCTATACTGTTTCAATATCCAAGGACCATCTCACCTCCCTAATTGCAGGGGAAAGCTTCTATAGGATTCTGCATCAAAGTATTTCCCTGGCAAATGAGACATGCCCCCTTTGGCTGCCCAGAAAGACAGGTGGTCTAAAGAGGACAGTTGTAGAATGTACTGACTATGTTTCAGCATACACTTCTGAAAAGCATGTCTTCAAAACTAGGATAGAAAATCTATAGTTATGAGACTAGGTGCAGTGGCTCACGTCTGTAATCCCAGAACTTTGGGAGGCCGAGGTGGGAAGAATTGCTTGAGTCCAGGAGTTCAAGACCAGCCAGGCCAACATGGTGAAACTCCATTTCTACAAAAAATACAAAAATTATCCAGGCGTCGTGGGATGTGCCTGTAGTCCCAGCTACCTGGGAGGCTGAGGTGGAAGAACTGCTTTAGGTCGAGGCTACAATGAGCCATAATTGCACTACTGCACCCTAGCCTGGGTGACAGAGTGAGACTGTGCCTCAAAAAAAATAAAGAAAAAAGAAAAAAAAAATTCAGTCATGGAATTAGATACCCAGGACATCTTTCCTGTAAGGAAAAGGAACTAAAATACAATTTCTACATGGGGCTTATGATAAGTACATACTTGTATATTATGTAAGATATCACTGTGCCTGTCTTGCAGATCAGGAAACACAGGTATCACAAAAGCAGCCTTACTTACATTGTTAGCCCTTTTGTAAACATGTAAACCACTTACTTCTTTCTGATCAAGTTGAAGAGAGGATTTTATTAAGTCTCGGAGAGCAGTTAGCTGTTTCTTTTCTTCATCCTGGGTCTGCTTTATCTATGAAAAAAAATTACTTCTATTACTTACCATTTATACTTTAATTTATTCAAAAATACCACTCATCACACAACTCTATTATATAGTTGGTTTTCTTATAAAAGTCCTTTACACTATCTCATTTTTGATATCAGATTTCTCATCTTATAAAAGTACCAGTGGGCTTTGAAATTAGTGAATAATGCAACATGTATTCTTATTAAATAACATATCTAAGCTAGACAATTAACTCTGAAGTACTAAATAACTTAAGAAATATCATTTAGATGATTTGCTTCTGGTTTTTCAAAGGGTGGTAATGGAAATACCATGATGTGATTCAACAGTCCAGAAAAGAATCCTAAGGATGACCAATGCATACATGAAAGTTTACATAGCATGAAATGGGGTCAAGGGATTGGTGCTGCTTGTTTTTTTTTTTTTTTTTTAACCATTTGGGACTTAACTGTAACCTGAACCATGTTAACTACTAAAAAAAAAATCAGAAAAAAAACACAGCTATGTATTTTTAGAGTTATATAAGAATATAAGGCATTACTTGTAATTCTCAAACTTTATTTAGTGAAATTTACTCATACTCATAAATATCCATGCTTTTATTTACCACCAAATGATTTCTGGGCAACAACTTTACCATTTCTAAAATATGCATTTAGACCTAGACACTAAAAAAAGAGAGACAATATAAAACATACAAAAAAAAAAAAAAACCCATAAATGAAATGCACAATGGCTCATGCTTGTAATCCCAGCACTTTGGGAGGTCAAGGCAGGTGGATCTCTTGAGCTCAGGAGTTCAAGACCAGTCTGGGCAACACAGTGAAACCCTGTCTCTACTAAAAATGCAAAAAATTAACTGGGAGTGGTGGTGGGTACTTGTAGTTCCAGCTACTTGGGAGGCTATAGCATGAGAATCCCTTGAGCCCAGAAGGCGGAGATTGCAGTGAGCCGAGATGGCACCACTGCAGTCTACTCTGGGTGACAAAGTGAGACTCGATCAGGGAAAAAAAAAAAAAAAAAAAAAAAAAAAAAAAAAAAAAAAAAAAAAAAAAACTCAAACAAACAAAAACCCTATAAACCTGCCTATTCAGAGAGTCACTTAATTTTTAACCTTCCACAATCATACGTTATTTCTGCAATTGCTGACCAGGGAACACCAAATGTGATGCTAACTGAATCGTTAAGTGCAGAGCCATGTGGAACTAACTGATGGCTACTCTCCTCCCTGCTCCTTTCATAGCCCCAGTAAAGCACTCGAGTATTTCACCATTGATGACTGCTCTGACTTAAACCGAAGGGTTATCTGCCCTAGGTTTGTACAGACATATCATTTAATCTTTTCTGCTTTTAACATCTAATACAGATTTCAAATTCAGTGACATTTATCCAGGGAAGCAAGTTAAGTTGCATGTATTTTACAAAGAACTTACATTATATAAATCAGCAGCCAGTTTTTCAATGTATTGTTTCAACTTATCAGCTGTTTTCAAGCCATCTTGAAAGAAACTACAATAAAAAAAAATAGATTTACCACCAGTATAAAAAAGAAAGAATTTTTTTTTACTTACGTGGGAACAAAAAAAGAACTAGAATAACCTGCAAAATCGGAAAATACACAGATCTGTGTGTGTGTGTGTGTGTGTGTGTGTGTGTATAAAAGTGTCAGTTCAAAATACTAAAACATGTATCACTAAAGCATACTCATTCTCCATGCATTATCTATACTAGACAGTTATAAAATTAATTATGGTATTTTATAAAGATTTACTAATGAACAAATTATGGCTGCCAGTTGACATTTGATAGAAGATACCTCAAGGAGACTGGAAATTACAGTTGCAGTCCCAAAACAGTGATTTCATAATGTGCATGTCCATTATACATAGAACAGCTCTTCCCAGTTTTATCATATTTGAATTCGAAAGAGAGAGAAAGATGCATTAACCAGTGGAATATCATGAGGTCAATCTAGACACTATAAGAAATATGATGGAACTATAGATAAAGGCAAAAGAAGACTCAAAGTTCATTCAGTTCCTCAAAGATCCCTGTGTTCCAACATATATCTGAAACACAAGATTTCAAAGCAGTAATACCAATGGGTTTGGAAAGCTTTATCCTACAACATATGGTTGCATTATTTCACCTGAGAAATAACAAGAATTAACATCTGTGGAGCATTTATCGCATGCCCAGCAATACTCTAAACACTTTACACAGTGATTTCCTGTACGCAACCCTAATAATTAAAGCACTTCAATCTCATCTCCATTTGTAAAACTGAAGTACAGAGTAAGTATAAAACTTGGTCAAGCTGCAACTAGTAAGCAGCTTAGCTGGTGGAATTCAGATCAGTTCTGCCAGAATCTGATCCATGCTTTTTACCAGAAGTGAAGGGATTTCTTGTCTCATGTGGCACACTTCCACTCAGGAACCTAGTCTCTGATATCAGTTTAGAGAAATACACAATATACCTCAGGAAACTGGTGTTTAGAATTTTCTCTGCCCTATTGGAAGCTTCTCTAACCATGCCCCCACAGCAGATTATTTCTCAAGATACTATGTTTTGCTGTCTCCCCACAATGAGGACCTGGAGCATGAGGACTGTCTCAACTCCCTATCACAGTGGGCCCAACACAAAGGAGACTAAAGGAAGCAATATCAAGACATTTTAAGCTGTATCTTTTTTTTTTTTTTTTTTTGAGATGGAGTCTTAGTCTGTCACCTAGGCTGGAGTGTAGTGGCACAATCTTGGCTCATTGAAATCTCTGCCTCCCAGGCAGCTGGGACTAGCTACCACACCAGGCTAATTTTCATGTTTTCAGCAGAGACGAGGGGGGGTGCAGGGGGAGCTGGTTCACCAAGTTCATCAGGCTGGTTTCGAACTCCTGACCTCAAGTGATCCACCCACTATGGCCTCCCAAAATGCTGGGATTACAGGTGAGCCACCATGCCCAGCATAAGGCATACCTTAATAGACATATTTTAAGCTTAATAAAGTTTTTCAACAACAGGGATGAGAGGAAAAAGGGCCTTTTGGTTAGCCATTTAACTGAAAAACAAATGATACAGTAAATCAATCCCTCTCTCTCTTTCTCTCTCTCTTGGACAGGGTCTCACTCTGTCACCCACACTGAAATTCAGTGGCTCACTGAAATTCAGTGGCTCACTGAAATGCAGTGGCTCACTGCAGCCTCGACTTTCTAGGGTCAAGTGATCCTTCCACCTCAGCCTTCTGAGTAGCTGGGACTACAGGTGCACCCCACCATGCCTGGCTAAATTTTTTATATTTTTTTGTAAAGATGAGGTTTTGCCATGTTGCCCAGGCTGTGAACTCCTGGACTGAAGTAATCTGCCCGCCTTGGCCTCCCAGAGTGCTGAGATTACAGGTGTGAGCCACCATATCTGGCCTAAACTCTCATTTTCTAGCATTTGGTTTTTCGGCACTGCCTACAGTGATGCAAGTTAAACTTCTCAGTACAGAATCTTAAAAGTTTATGTTCTGACCCTTGAATAGCTTCTAAGTTTTATCTCTTACCATTTTCCCTTAAAAACTCCAAGGTCTAGACATGCTACATTATTTCTAGTTGCTTGTTCCTTTTCAACCCATCTTCCCCCACCTCAGCCTCTGCATATGCTATTCCCTCTGCCTGGAATGCCCTTCCACCTCTATACCTGTGTAGTAGTCCGTTCTCACGCTGCTATGAAGAAACACCTGAGACTGGGTAACTTACAAAGAAAAGACGTTTAATTGACTTACAGTTCCACATGGCTCAGGAGGCCTCAAGAAACTTACAATCATGGCAGAAGGCACCTTTTCACAGGGTGGCAGGAGAAAGAATGAGTGCCAGCAGGGGAAATGCCAGACACTTATATAACCATCAGATCTTGTGAGACTCATTCATTATCAAGAAAACAGCATGGGGGAAACTGCCCCCATGACTCAGTTACCTCCAGCCTGTCCCCCCATTGACCCATGGAGATTATGGAGATTACAATTCAAGATGAGATTTGGGTGGGGACACAGAGCCAAACCATATCAACCTGCCTGCTAAATTCTCTTTTATCAAGACTCAGCTCAGTTGCTTCCCCATAAGCAGTATTCTCTAGACCTGATAGTCAAAGCATTGGCTTCACTGAGCAATAGCTTTGTATGCGTAAAAGGTAATCACAGCAAAATCAGTTTTGGTCTCTGGTACTGCACTTAAGTAATTTCTGGAGCAAAGTTTTGAAGGTAGAACACTTAAATTTAAGATTGATGTTGTCAGGGCTTCTTACGACCGAAAAAGCAATCGCTTTGGGGTCAGATGATAATGACTAGGAATCTGTGTTCTGGCAAGTCATTTAACTTATCTTGGCCTCAGTTTGCTCAAGTGTAAATGGGCAAAAAATACATGTAAATGGGCAAACAATACAGATAGGACATATGAAATCAGCCAGCAAAGTGTGGGGCAGTTAGCATGTGCTCGGAAAATGATTCCCTTCCCTGGAGCTGCATAACTTTATCAGATAAGGAGTTATTTCCTTTGCAGAGGGATACAGATTCCTTGCAGAAATTTTTGAAAAGGTATTT